ACTGAGTGTAACCTCACCAATGTCACGACCGCTACCACCAACAACAATTACAACTACATTAGCTTCTCTAACTACCTCAACCACTCGCTCAACAACAACAACGTCAACGACAATTTTTTAAACGATAGTCGCTTATTTGATGTTAGTCGCGACAATTATTTTTCAACTTACGACAGTGTAGGTGATAAATTTTTGAATGTAAGGGGTTCTCTTATGTACAAAAACAACAACAGCATCAGCAGTCTTCATCATCAATACAAAGAAACTTATTTTAAATTAACGTCACCATCATCATCTTCATTCTTATCATCCTCATCATCTTCATCCTCATCATCTTCATCCTCATCATCTTCATCCTCATCGTCAAAAAAACACAAGAAACCTCCAAAAAAACCCAAACCGTGCGCCACATACTCTTACGTCTCCGAGACAGAGTTCGGCAAGACAAAATTCTACAAAACGTACAACAACATAATCTACAACGCTGTCGTCTTGATTCTGCCGCTCTTTTTATTAGTCGGCCTCAACATCCCCATCATCGCTACTCTCAAAAAATCTCAAGAAAATATGAAGAAAAATTCATTAGGCTATAGAGGAAAGCAGGAAAAAAATATCACAATGGTTATAATAATAATCGTTCTGGAGTTCATTTTATGCCACTTCCCAGACCGAATCCTGTACGTTATGAAAGCCTTTTCAAACTTACAGGAGAAATGTCCGAGTCCGTATTTCTTTGCCTACCGAGTCATTGGGGTCATGGTTGTCCTGAACTCGTCAACCGATTTCCTGATATATTATTACTTTCGTAAGAGGTTTAGGACGATCTTGAAGAATAAAGTCTGCCGTTGTGGTCGGCAGAGGGTGCAGAGTAGCCTCTCTACGACTGAGTTTGATGATGAGGAGTTGAGTCTGCAGAGAAGGTATAGTCAAGTCCTCGTAAAACATTGACTGTGTGTGCGTGTGTGCGTGCGTGTGTTTGTGTATTTGTGTATGTGCGTGTGTGTTTGTGTATGTGTGCGCGCGTGTATGTCTGCATGTGCGTGTGTTATTGTGTGGACTGTAATGACGATGAAAACGATAATAATGATGATGACGAAGATGATGATGACGAAGATGATGATGACGAATAACTAATTATAATCTTACAAACAGATTCTAACAATGGTATTGATTATAGTAAATCGTATATATAGATCACCTGCAAAAGATATATATATATATATATATATATATATATATATACAATATTCTATAAATTCTACCGAATGTTTGGCGTTAATATGTTTGTAGTTCGTTTTTTCGATTTTTCTCATTAAAGTTTTTTGGTGAACGTTTAGTTTATTAAAATTCAAAATAAACATATAATATATATATATATATATATATATATATATATATATATATATATATATATCTATTGATGAAAATCA